ATCAGTAAGGTGCGGCTATAATAAAATGCTCTGGATGAAACTATCTGTTTCTTATTAATACAAAGTTCAAACCCCCACACATTTAACCCACGCACTACACCTCTGATGATGGTTTTAATGGGTACTGTTGGCTTTCTGGTATAATTTTAATACAACCATGATTTCATTAGCAGAGGAAGAAAATAGAGCGTCCAGACATCCAAACTGACTCACTTTCACGAGTAATTAATCATCAAACAATCTGTTCATTATTGTTATGATAGCTTAATTTACTGTCCTTCAAAAGTCTAGTTTAAGTAAAAAAAACAATGGAAATGAAATCCTTGTGAGTCTGAAACAAATATTTGCAGCAATTCTTAACATTTTATTTCTTGCAGTGAGCAAAACTTGGCACTTTTTATGATTTAACAATTAAAATATTCAATGAACTGTTCGAATTAAAAACAAAAATACTCTTTTCTAACCTGACTCTTATGAAATCAGTCAGCTTATCAGAGGAAATCCCCGGAGGACATAAGAGTGTCACAAGCATGAAAAATAATAGAAAACATCAAATAACACAATGAGTGTAAGTTCCTTTTTTTTTTTTACAGTCTAGACTTTTTATGCAAAATGTGTCATTTGTTTCCCCTTGAATCTTCGTCCTCCTTACAGGTGGTTTGTTATTTAAATGCTCTGTCTGTCTGTCTCAGGTAATGTGTGTCTTAAGGTGTTGACCATCATATGACCGGATCACTGCTCTATAAAAACACAACCACATGATCTCGCGGGCACACACAAGCACACACACACGCACACACACTTCTCTACCTCTCTTTGTTGCTAATATGACTCTCTTTTCTCCTGCAAACTCTCCTTGGCTCCTCCCTGTGGTGTGTGTTCATGGGTGTGTGTGTCTGTGTGTGTCTTAATGGACCAGGATGATAGGGACAAAAAACACTCACACTTCAAACCAATGATTCTAATTCTGCTGGAGTTGTACTTAATGTTGGCTCTATCATATCACAAAAATGAACCAGAATTTTTGATGCTGCTTAAATACAAAGCGATTGGTTGACTAATTGATTGATGTAACTGATGTGTTAACATAGACAAAGACAGACACTCAACTTTATAGTATAAACAGATGAAAGCAGTACGGCCAACTTTGTCCATCAAAGAGAAATATTTGTTTAAGCTTTGATATCCAAAGTTAAATGTTGTTTTCCTTTTTATTTTACGAAAAGAAATACTCTAAAGCTTTTTCACAATGAGAGAAATTTTGGTTGAATTATACAACCACAACATGAGAATATTTAAGGGACAATGTATCATGACAAGGTGGTTATGCAAATTAAAGTCCTGACAGGGTGAACAGGCCTTAAGCAGACTGCTACAGGAATATTTATTTACTCATTCAGCTTCTTTTGCGATTGACTCACCTTGAACTAGATTAGCCAAGGGTTACAAGGCAGCGCTCACAGTGCAGCTCTGCACAACAGAGAGTGAAGATGCCGACAGCTCATAATGCATAACTAGTGCAAACTGCACAGAGCTTTCAGACTTGATGCACGTGTATGTGCTGGAATATAGTGAGTACAAAATGCTTTGCACCATACTTTGACCTTGGGGCTGAGTAGACACGTGGCAAATGTATCAAGTTGTCATTCCCCCCTCTATGCATACTCACATTCACTATTAGCTGTCTGTAGCTAATTGGTAATCTGATTTGTTATTCTAATTTGAAATATGTGCCTCCTCAGTAGTCCAGCAAACACTCCTAACACACAAACTCAATGTATTCATCTTGTTACACATTCTCACAGACTCACTGAGTTTAAGACTCACATTACACTCATTACAGAGTGTCAGGCTCGGGTCGACAGGCTGACTTTTGACCGCAGTGACCCACAGATGTCAGTGACCTGACCTGCCTGATAGATAACTGATTGAATCTCTAGCTCTCCTGATCTTTCTAGCACACAAACACACACACACACACACACACACACACACACACACACACACACACACACACACACACACACACACACACACACACACACACACACACACATACTGACCTCCAGCCAATCTCAACAGGAAATGAAAGAAAAGAAACTGTGTGTGTGACGTAAAAAGAGAATTATTCAATCTCAGGGTGTGTGTGTGTGAGTGTGTTTTATGTGAGAGTGTGTGTCTTATGATTTCATTACAGTGGGCTCAGACAACAGGGGTTTTTGGTCAAATCATTCCTCCTGACTATCCGAGGAGAAATCGAGTTTTGGGCCTTTTTTCTCCATGAATTCTTTTTACGGAGAAACATTTCTGTTGCCAGGATTGAAAGTCTCGATGTTGACGTCAGTGTTGTCTGGGCAGAACTCAACAGCCAGTTAACAAGAAAAAGAGGAGCCTGTGCTTCTAATCGTGTTTTTCAAAACTCAAGGCTTGTTTTTTTAAAGAGCCATGATTTGTTTTTTGTTTAATGCTGATCTTGAATAGTTTGACATCTCACTGCAGAATCCTTCAAATGTTTGCGTCATTAAATTCAATTTTCACTGAATTTATTTTACAGTCTCAGCAGATAACATGTATCTGGTTCTGCTCGATGAAGGATGTTTTTCCCTCTCTACCTTAACTTGCTAAATTCTGCAAAGTGTTTCTCATGCTTGATCAAGATGAGCTCAGGGCTGGTCTGATCTTTCATGATGAGACTCAAACTTGATATCAGGTCGAACTGAAGGGTCTGGTTTTGACTATGTGTACAGAGATCACACAAAGATTTCTAATGACATTCCTTCCTCATCCTTCTTTCCATTCAGCTGGTTGACTACAAAACCAGACCACTGTCTATATAGTTCAATTTGTGTAAAAAATGAAATTCCTCAACTAAAGTGGCCCTTTTCTGAAATGACTGTTTTAATATGAGATCCGGTGGGAGTTCCTTGTTTTTTCAGCTAGCTTAAAGCGACTACAATTAGCTTCCTGTTGAGATAATGCTCCTGATGAAAAGTCACACAACAAAAAATTTAACATCCATACCTGAATCTAAACGATCCAAGTATCCGTCTGTTAGAGACAACTGATTTTTTTTTACTACAGTGGGCGATTAAACCACCTTTACTCACTATGATGTTATCAAATTTATTCATTACCTGTTTTAACATAGACTCGGTATTGTCTAACAAGCTGCCTCATACACTCATCTACGCTCTATTAGCGTAATATTGATTTGAATATGAAACTCTGCAGGGACTGACAGTATGATTTAACCCTCACAGTGCTGACTCATACTGCACCATTAGGGAAACAAGCCCAATATGTTTCTGCTGCTCTGCTGAGAAAAACCCCTCTTTAATGACTTCTCAGAAGCTGGAAGGATTTTTATGAAACAGCATTTACGTCAAAGTGAAACTCAGAGGGCCTGTTGTGATGGAAGTCGTTTTTCTCTTATCTATCCCCCCCAGCTGAACTCAGTTTCTGACTCAGATTTCTTGATCATCTACGTTCTCACAACAGTGCAGAGCGATTTTTTGTCCTCATGGCAGATGGCTTGACAAATATGTGAATCAAAAACATTTGAGTTTTTGCTGGATCTGGGTGACAAATTTCTTTTCTTGATGTTTTTAACATGTTTGAACGATAATTAATTAAAACTGAACCTCAAAAATCCTGTTATGCTCTTCATGCCAAGAGGACAAAACTAAAATGATCAAACAGGAGGTTTCTCTTTAAGTGTTTTGTGACTAGGCTGAAAAGATTTGATGAGAATGTTTGTGTTTTTAACACTGTGGAAATCGACCATGTCTACAATTTGTGTGAAAATATCAACCCAGTTTAAGTTAGCATCTCAATAATTTGGCATGGTAATTCTTTTTCTGTCTTTTCTCTATAACAATTAAAGAAGCCAGCCGCAAATATTGTAAACCAAAGTTTTAGACAAGAATTTGGGTTCAAACTCACCTGGATCACTTAACTGCACAATAAAAATACCTGTTTGCAGACAGGACGAACTAAAATCCTCCCTGTGATTCAGCTGTTGAAGAGAGATAAGATGGATGACATGCTGTGTTCAGCATATAATAATAAATGTTTACTATATTAGAGGCTTCGTCGCCTATGTAGAGTTGACAGTATGTGTTTGTGTTATGTATGTTGCCTTTAAATGTGAGGTGCACCACAAAGCCTCTTGTGGTGCACCTCCTGTTTGTAAAACGAGCACTGTGTTTAGTTTTTTAATCAATGTTTGGTAACCATAAAGACTTTTTTTCAAATCAATATCCCTGACCACAGAAAATAGAAGGGAAAAAGCTGAGGGTTGGACTAAATATAGGCTACATGGTAGCCTATAAACTTTATATAAGCTAAGGTTAAAAACTTAATACAATATGATTTTAATACACTTTCTTTGTGCAGGTATAATGGGTGTAGCTGTCTTTTTCCTTTTGTGAGTTAATTGCAGGTTGCTAGTTGTAGAGAGTGATACATCCCCCAAAGACAAGGTGAATATCATGCTGCAGCACTGTGTTTTTTTTAAACAGATTTAGTAGATTTGACTAAATGATAGACTTTGCTTATCCACTAACAATGGAACAAACACTGGAGTAAGAAGGTGATTCATAAACTAGCAGAGGTCCTCAGGTACTAATTCTGTGTGAAAAGGACTTTAGACTATTATCATCCCATCCTGTTTGAGCATGTGGCTGAGTGTTTCACAGTTATCTAATGTTGCTTTCTTTTCAGATGCTGATGTATTTGAGGAAATGTTAATTTTTTAGCAATCAACAGCCATGTCTACTGCCTTGTTAAAACATTCAAACTGAAACACTTCAGCTTCACACACTAAGTCAATCTGAAATCATAAGACATATTATGAAAAACTAACTTTTTCAGGATTTAAGTCAGGCCACTCACATTTGATGCCTTGAACTGTTTATTGCAGCAGCAGCAGCAAAACTTTTTCGAGTTTTGTTTACACATGCAGCAGTTGAGGAGTTGATGAAATGATCCTAAACGTTTCAGTTGGAGCCTACAGGTGTATGCTGGTGGTGGTGGTGGGGCTGAAAATCTAAGAGTAGCATTGGCTGCAGTGGTAATAGCAGAGCAGGGAAATCTCCAATGATGCATGTCAAGTGTAAAATCAGTGCAGCTCGAGTTGCCTGCTTGCCTGGACTAGCTCCCTTGCTCTACGTCAGACACAAACACTTAGGTATCCTACCCAGTCCTTTTTTTAATCTGCATATATCTAACAACAAACAATCTGCTGGTCACAAGGAGAGTCATTGTAATAATACCTAAACCCCCTCAGCTATTATCTCCATCCTCACCTTCAGGACTAATGAACTTTAAGGAAGTCCATCGTTGTTGTTCTCACACGAGTGTAAGCAGAGAGGATGTCTCTTTAAATTCAAATGAGCTCTCTTTCAACTCGCTAAGAGAGGGACGGGGTGAAAAGGAGCTCATTTGCATTGAAAGACATACACACTAAAACTGAGAAAGGCTGTTGAAAGCCTGTTTGTGCAGGGTCCAAATCCTCCTCTGATGTTTGATCCATATGACATTTGAACAAAGCACAGCACACAGGTGTGTTTTATTGCACACCCACAAGGTCAAAAAGGAGCAGAGAATAATGTCTTGATCAACTTTACTAGGACTCAAAGAATGATAAACAAGTTAGGGTTAGGTTGTGCAGATGATTAAACTCTTGATTCTAACAAGAATGACTCCACCTCCATGATAGTAAGATAGTTAAACCCTGTGAGCTGATTCAGGTTCAGGTCTGTGACGCAGACACATTTACAGTGTGTGTCTGTGTGTGTGTGTAAAGTGTACAACTTTTCGTGTGTTTTTCCTGGGCATCATTGTAGCTACCCCCCCTGATGACCTCTCCCCTGCTGCCCTGCAAAGTGAATAAAATCTGGATGAGTGAATCTGTTTGTGGTCCAAGCAGTCATAACCCATAACACACCATGGGGAACATCTCTGGCCTGGGGGGGGGGCAAGGTTATAAGACAATACTCCTGCTAACATGATTTCACGATTCAATATGCCAGGCAGCTGTCTGTCTGTCTGTTTGTCTGAAACACTGAATGAACTTTCAAAAAACCTGTTCACCTGATCTTCATCCATTTTTGTGAACTAAGTCACTCTGTAACTCTGAGTGTCAGCATGCTGCAACACACGCACACACACACTCTCACATCTTGTCCTCTGGTGTTCAGGCCTGCATGTAGGCCAGCTGATAAGAGATAGCTGATAAGCCTGATAAAGATAGGGTGGAGGAGAGCAGACTGAATTCTAGCAAACAGTCAATAGCTCTGTTTGATGAAGACTGAATCTCTGACTAATATAAGATATTTCCCCTGAGAGAGAGAGCTGTGAGTTTTTAACAAGCTGTCGGCTTATTTCTATGATGAGAGCAGAGCTCAGTTTAACTATAAAACAGAGAGTTTATTGCTGTACAGAGTCCAATGCTGATATGAGACCAGAGGAAGACTGGGTTTAACCTTTTAACCCAGAAAAAAACAGTCTGATTATACAGTAACAGAGGTACTACCTCAGCACTTCAATATGAGCTCAAATGGAGACAAAGTCAGCTGTTCCTGTGCTGTTAGTGTGCTCAGGTACACACATGCTCACAGAGCAGTTAGGGTTAAAATCTAACCAACAACCTTCAAAATGTCCACTTCTACCAATCCTTACAACTGTCACCTGAAACAAAGACACGATCAAGGTCAGTGAGGCTCTGAGGTCTCTACGGAAATCATCTGTGTGATTATATAAATGAAGTCAAATCAAGCTGCAACCTCCATTCTTGAGTAATAAAGCTGATGTGTAAGTGCTAAAAAGTGCAGGTACCTGAGAGCACACTTGAGACGGGCTGCAGAAGCACCTGAAAACATACATACACACTGATCCGAAACAGCCTGATTCAAGCTTTAAGAAAACGTGTTTTCTGGTTCAAAATTCAGTTTTGGTCTGTATAGCTCAGGGCTCCCACAGCACCCACTGTGAGGGGAGTGATTCATTCATCTGAAGTTATTCTCTGCCTCTGGAGAATCAGAGGCACAGCTGACTTGACTGACAGGCAGGCACACTGTGGATATTTGTGAGGAGACCCTGAAGCCAACATCTGGTAGGATGACTGAACGTTAGGTTGAGTCAGGATTATTAATACCAAAAATCCTGACTGCAGTTTTTTTTAGTCTTATTGGAAAACCATCCAGAATTAAACATACATAGTTGGGATGCCACTGGCCTGGCGGTCCATGTGGTTGCCCCATGTATGGAGGTTGTGCCCTATGCCCGGGTTCGCCTTCAGTCCTTGACTCCTTTTCCATATGTCATTCTCTGGCTCCTGCTCCGTCCACTGATCTGCCCTCTCTAAGTGAAGAAAAAGCCTGAAAATGAGTTTCTAAGATTAAATAGAGAAAGACTAAATTTATAAAACACACTCAGAAATTATGATCTGTTCACCTTGGTCCAGGTACACCCGAGCATTCACTGTCATTATTCCAACCAATCTGGGCCTGCTGATGTTGGACTTTAGAGCTTTAAATCATCTTTTTTGTCTACTTTCAGGCATACAAAGTTGCGTTAAGTCCCCTTAAATCAAACGTACTCATCATTGTTTAGGAAATGGTGTTCCTCAGGGAAACTATTTACTCTTCCTGTCTGAGGCCATTTATTTAGGATGTCAAGCCTCCACGGCAGTTTAAAAGTCTGTCCCTTTTAAGGTGTTTGTATTTTAACTTATCATTCCATCCAGGTAGACAAACCGACCCATTTTGTTTGAATGTAATAACCTAGATTATCAGCAGTCAGGATCGCTGAAACCTGACAGATGGGGTCAAAGAGATCAAACCCGGCCCTATCTAACTTCACCCTGCAGCCTCCATGACGCAGCTCCATCTCTTCATCCAGTATTCAGCTCCATCTGTGGTTGGCAGGAGCAGACTGACGGCACACACTTTAATATGGAGAGGTGGATGTATGAGGAGAGATGAGGTGACAGGAAGGACTCAGATGGAATAAACTGGGTCGGAAAAATGAGGACATGTTTGCCAAAGTGGGGTCATTTTGTAGATTTTGTCTAGACAGCGGCATCTGATCAGGTTACAGTAAGACATTGTGATTATTGTCTGAAAAAGGGCAAATGGAAAGATAAAAAAGGAAGGAGCTCTCCTGAGAACAAAAAAGAGATCAGGACCAAAAACTTTATGGGAGAAGTTAAACTTTCCAAACTGAAGTCGAACGACCTTTGCTTGATTCCCACCTTGTAACCGTGTCAGTGCACATATACCAGCAGATTTCAGGCTGTGTGAGAAATGGACACAGGCTGCTCAGTACCTCAAATTGGGCATTTTGGCTGATGACATCTTCTTTTTGGAGCCTAAAATGATCACAATTGGATTATAGGGTAGAGCAAGAAAAAGGGTAGCTTTGTTCGCAAGATGTATTCTGCTTATTCAAATGTGATGCAGCTTCTACCTGTTAAATATGAGATAAAAATGATATTATATTAGCTGAATCAGTGTGTTCAGAGAGTAGAAAAGTGACTGACAGCCACAAACAGACTAAACAAACCTAAGCCAGTGCAGTGTGTGTGTGTGTGTTTGTGTGATTGTGGGAATTTGAGGGGGTATCTGTTGCTCTCAGTGTGTGTGCATTTGTCATTGGTGTGTGTGTGTGTGTGTGTGTGAGAGAGTGAGTGTGTGTGTGTGTGTGTGTGGGGTGCTGACAGCAGTGCCCTGGCTGTGATGTGGACAGTTGGAGGTGCTGACAGCCTCGTGTTGGTTCAGGGTCCTGCTGGGGGCTGTCCGGGCAGGTCGGGGCAGAAACCCCCACTGCAGATCATCCCCATCCCCCTATGTCCCTGTTGTGGTTGAGACTGTGTGATAAATATACAACTGTCCTCTGTCACTCCATGTAACCCCTCATGGTACTTGCCGATTTGTTTTCTTGTTTTCTTCTGTTGGCGATTTTGTTTTTGTACTCATATCAGGAAGTCAGCTCTTATTTTATGAGTTGAATACCTTGAATTACGACCTTTTACTTGGCTCATGAAGTGAGAGTTAATCATTATTATGCATAGCAGAGAAAAAAACTTTACTATACCAGATGATGTCCGTCATAAAAAAGCCCAAACCTGAAAATCACTTTAGAGAAGCAATAGGCATCCTCACTGGTGCTCGAACTATTCAGAGTTATCCTGCCCCTGTGAACATGAATATAAATCGGCCTGAGTCCTACCTGCCAGCTTCATATTTCACCGGTGGTCACATTAAGCTGTAAAAGTCATTTCCACCTTAAATGTGAAATAACAAACCTAATCATCCAAATCCCAGACAGGGATCTGTGCAGAGATGAGGGCTTCATTCATGGAAAAAATGAGCAGCTGTGAAGCGACATTTGCATGGAAAAGATGGACATCCGATCACAGTGTTAACCTGACCGACCTGTGTGTGCGTGTTTGTGTGTGTATTTGTGTGTGTGGTCAGGGAGAGGGCCAGCGGTCTTTCCATATCTGTCATATCCTGTTATAAGAAAGAACTGAGAAAAGGAAACACACAGAAAGTAATGGACACAATATGGATGACTGATGCATGATGGTATGATAGAGTTTTATTAAAGTTGAATTAAAGTCAACGGCTTGGATTTATGAATTAACGTTGACAGGACTAAGTTTTGAAGAACTTCCAGTTGGATTATTTTTCTGCATTCATGGTCACACTATTTATTTTTTTCGGTGTTTTTTGACACTCTAGATATGAAACTGATTTCACACTCACTCTGCAGCTACAGCTGTTTTTTTCTCTCACAGTGATGCACACGGGGAAGTTCATCTGCTAGTTGTAAGTCTTGCTCTCCTTTAGGCGATCTGTCATTGCATGCTGTCATTTAAAGATGTCCTGGAGTCAGCGGTGCAGCAGGAAGTATGGAAAAAGAACGAGAGGAAAGAGAAATGAGGATGATGACAGATGTGGAGAACATCAGCTCTGACTCATGAGAGCAGACGGGCGAGCCAAAACTGACATTTGTGTCTGATTTACATCTGAGGACGAGTTTAAATCTCCCACAGCGCTGTGCTCGTCTCACAATGTTTCCATCGTTCCATTTGTATTTATCAGACTGCTGAGTCTGAGAGATAGAGAGAGACGGACAGGCAGATGGAGAGGAGAGCCTTTTGGTCGCGCATCAGGGCAAAAAGTGAAAAATTTATTTAAGTGAGAAATCTAAACCTGTTGGTGTAAATACAAGATAGAGGTAAAATGATGTAAAGAAAGAAGTTGTTGTCTTTATTGAAAATTCAGGAATACGTTTGAAATATGAAATAAGTGGAGAAGTCAGAAGTAACTTCAAAACGTTGAGATAAAGCTATAACCTTTGGAATAAAGTCTGTGCATCAAAAATAAAGGAGGTTAAAGAGTTGAGTTTGAAGTTAAAATTTCAAGACTGACTGTGAGAATATCTGCTGTGCAAAGTGGGGAAAAAAAAAACATGTCTCAGCTATTGTCTCGCTGATATCTACCTATTGAAACAGAGGTATTAACTTTTGTCTGTGTCAAAACCAGCAAAAATCCAAATTCAAATGTTAAAACACAGTACAACAGTCAGTTTACAGGTTTAAATTACAAGACAGCGAGTTAATGTTTATAATAAAGTGGAAACATGGAGGACAAGTGTATAACTCCAGTTTTTTATCCCTCACTTTATCCCCCTGCCCTCAGAGAACACTGTGTGATAAGAAATATGCTAATTATAGTAAAGTAGGCCATCAAGGCCAAGGCTGTCTGCCATAATAAACACTAAGCAGCAGACAAGAGAGACACACACCCACCCACACACACACACACACACACACACACACACACACACACACACACACACACACACACACACAAACACACACACATACATGCGTGAGCTGCCATGTCGAGGCTATCACAGTGAAGATACTGAGAGAGAGATGAGATAGTGACTCTAAGAAAAGATAGTGTGTGTTTGTGTGTATTTGCATGTGTGTGTCTCTTTATTTCTTTATGGATCTCTGTGTGGCTCGTTGCCGAGTAAGTTGTTGAGTAACAGGCATCACTCTATCTCTCACTCTTTCACTCTCACCATTTTCCTTCTGCCCTTTTCTTCTTATATAATATTATTAATCTAAAAGTGTGTGAAATGGTCTGAATACTAGATTTGTGACTGTGTACACAAAAATAAAATATATATTAACAAGGCTGCAAAGGGCTCCCTTCGTGGTCTGTAGAAATGTTCAGGTCTGTCTAAACATTAAAGGAAATACAATCATTTACAGTCTGATTTAGTTACATGTTAACGTCTTAACTTAGCTTTTGGAGCAAGATCAGGGAAACTGCTAGGCGGGACCAAAGGTAAACCTTAATGGGGACATAGCTACCCTGTGAAAACATGACTTCTTTCTGTACACAGTTTATGAACATAAAACAAGGTTTAATGTAGAGTGATAAACATGCTAGGAGACATTTTGAAGTGTTTGTTTTTGAAGGAGAGAAATGATGGGTTAGAGAATGGGGAGAGATATACAACACAGGGTCCTCTTGGCCATAGATGAAACCAGGGATTGCAGCAATGGGGTCTGCAGCTCTGTTTATAGACATGAACTAAGACCGCTAAGCCAACCAACCTTCTGAATTTAAGACAAAGCCAGGTTAGTTATTTACCCCAAGCAGCAACCTCTGGTCCTGAGAAATGAAGCTGATGTGGAAGAGCTAAAAACTGCAGTTCCCAGAGTGCCTGCTTGGGGTTGGCTGCAGAAATACAAACATTGTACGTAGAAAAATACAAACTAAGCCCAAAGGAAGCCAGATTTTAGAGCAAAAATAAACATGTTTACAGCCTGGTCTAAAACTGCTCAGGCTTCACATGGTGCCCACTTTAGTCACATTAACCTTTTTTAAGGTTATGAGATTATCAGAGGCATGGCTGACTTGACTGACAGGCAGGCATACTATCTGCCAGGAGGCTCAGGCCCACCTTTGACAGGCTGACAGGATGTAAGGTTGAGTCAGCATTACCATGTCTGTCAACATTACAGACATTTTTGCTACTGAGGAAGATGATTTTATCGAACCAAATGTGTAAGTTATATTTTCTCTTTAAAGAAAGCTGACAGACTTTGACTATGAAAGAAACCTTGACGTCTTGGTAGCCTTGGAGCTGAAACTGTCACTCTTGAGCAAGTTGTAAAACTCCACAAAGTAATTCATAGATGTGTGCAAAGACGTCAAAATCTGTATTTGTATCTACCAAAAAATGATCTGTATTGTGAATGAGTTAAAACAGAATTGGAGGTGGAAGTGTTAATTTTTTTTCTTTTTTTCTTTTTTTTTTAACAACAATAATTTACTCTGGTGACGAATTTTACATAGAGGTTCAATTTTAATTATTGTGTACCAATATAAGGCTTTTAAATCCTACTTCCAGATACAAACCTTTCACTGCTAAACTGTCAGTGTGCAGCCCACTGCCTGTGAGCAGAGGGGTGAAAGCTACAAGATCTTGTGAGTAACTCAAATCAAGTGAAGTGACTTTTGACTGGGGCAATTTTAAATGGCGGATATTAACTCTAAAATGTCGGTTTCTCTGCAATATTTTAATGTATGATGTGGAGCAATAATAATCATAGAAATGAGTATAATCAAATTTAAAAAAATATCAAGATCAATTTCATTATCTGTCCCTTTTTAAATTTTTCTTTTTCAGAGATCACAGCCAATTACTACTGAAACGACTTCATTATCATATTTCCTGACATCAAAATTTGCTGGTGACCTGTGTTAAGCATCAGACAGCAACCATGACTGGAATGTCAATAGTGAAACCAGTGAGGGTCAACAGCAGGCCAAAGGTCACTTTAAAGAAGAGGAGGAGGAGAGGAGAAGAGTAGAATGGACAGAGGATGTGTGACACACAACTTCTTCACAGCTATAAGCAGAAACTTCCTCTCTACTTAAGTGTGTTTGTCATGCCTCTCTGGCTGTGTGTCTCCATGACCTGGTCCTAACCCTCTCAAGGTGCATGTATCTCCACTAAGTGTGCTTCTGTGAAGGGTTAGGTACCTTTGGGCAGGGGCAGATGTCATCTGGTCCTATAGATTGATGAGTAATAAAATAATTTTATGTTTTTTGTGCAAAGACACATCTAATTGTTTCACCTGTTTGAACGAATTAAGAAATCATCACTATTAAATGCGGCAATAGATACATATGCAATACATCCTGAGACTAAGATTTATTTTATAGGCCAGTTCTGTAACATTTTAATGCAGACATTTAAAATAACTCATTTCACAGCTGTCATTTCAATATGATGATGCTGCAATTCCACCAACTCATGAAACCACAGAAGTTTAGCTTTAGGTTATCAGAGTCTAAGACCAGCCCATGCTGGGTTGTGATGAGATCAGGTCAGATATACTTCCTATTGTGATTCCAGTTTCCACTTATTCACTTGACTCTCCCTATTCTTTTAAGATCACCAGGCCTCTTGGACCTTTACATTACCAGAGCTTAAACTAACTTTTTATTAACTACACACAGAGAAAACAGAGTTCATGTTTCCACCGGTTATCTGCAGCTTAAACCTGATCGAGCTGAGGTTGAATATATTCAGACATGATATTGTTTGACATCTTGTAGACACAATCAGGTGCTCAGAAACAGCCATAAACTAGGAGTTCTGAAAAACCTGAATCAGCAGTTGCAGATTCAGACTAAAAACATTTTGGAGCTTGTCAAAGTTTACCCAGATGAATGCTGAAAAGTACCACTCTCACAGCTGCACACTCGATTCTGGTGAAGAGGGTTGTAAACCGGCCTGTTTTACAAAGTGAAATTTAAGAAAATGTGATTGTAAGTCGTGAATGACAGTATTGGTGTGTGCGTGCGTGTGTGTTTCTGAGAGAAAGTGAGGGAGCAGCAGACATCAAGCAGCTAACCAAACAGCAGCAGAGGGACAAAGTAGAAGTGCAGCTCTCTTCTACAAACAGCAAATGGTCTCACAGTGGAGAAACCAGATGGAAAGCACACGCACACTTAATCACACACAAACACGTAGTTTATGCTTACCTTCAGACTGTGTCAGTGTGTGTGTGTTTAGGTTTGATGTTTGAACTACGAGA